CGCTTTGAAAATCATGTTTTCGAAGCGTTGGACCCCGTCGCGGACGTACTGGGGCGGGCCCCGCTGCAGGATGTCCCAGGGCGGCAGGTTGTAGACGAGGACGCGATGGGCCACGCGAACGCGACTGAGCATGACGTACAGGTGCAGCCACCAGTCATCGGCGCCCATGTTCATGGGCTTCTGGAGCACCATGGTGGCCGCATCCATGCCCAGGCCCTGCGCCGTCTGCACGGTGCGAACTTTCTCTGGCAGCAACGGGATCTGGTACCTCGTAACCTTCACTTTCCGAAGCTTTCGTTCGCCATCGTCTTGGTAGCGATGGTTCCACTCCCAGGACGCCCTGTGCGGCGCGATCTGCACGACCCCGTCCCCGAACCCAAAGTCCTTCTCGAGGCCATCAAACCTGACGAGGACACAGCGCGGTAAACGCTTGCATCGATAATAACCGAGCCGGTGGGCGGCGTGAAGCTTCTTTTCGCGCCAATCCGCGTCTGGCGTCTCGAACTCTCGCGGGTGGAACCTCACGTCCACGACTTCCCCCACGGCGTCCTGGACGATCTGGTGCTTCGCCGACAATTTCACGTTCAGACGCACACGCATGCCGATGTACAGCGGGCACATGCCGATGAGGTGACCAGTGTTGTTCACGTTCGGCACCTGCAGCATGGCCTTGTAATGCTCCTCATCGAAGGGCCTTGGAGGCAGGTCCACGGCCTGCACGTACAGCAGCATCTGCCCCTTCTCCCTGGCCTCTCGCACGGCCCGATACTGCATCTGCCTGTGCACGGCCTCCCAGGCGATGCCCATCTCGAAACCGTCCTTGACATGGGGGTCCTGCAGCCGCTTGTCGTTCTTACCGGGTCGGACCACCCACTTTTGCACCATCCTTTTCTGCTCGGCCGTAAACTTTTTGCCCTGCCTCATGGTCTTCAAGAACCCGGGCATGAAAGGGCAGGGCGCGTGCGGAGTAACGAGAAGGTCCTTGAAGCGGTGCGTCTCGTACAGAAACATCGCGTGGGTGACGCCGTCCAAGAATATGGACTGCCCACTGCGGACGTGAACCGGCGCCTCGGGCGACTCACGCTGCAGCAAAGAAGACCTTCAGCCCTTGCCGCTCACCGGCCCCGGCTGATAAAAGTCACCCAGAAACATGACAATCGGAGCCTTCCCGAACATGCGCCCCCGCGCCATGTAAAGGTCCACATCGCAATTATACTGAGCCTTACGGGCTTTGCACATGCGAAACGATGCAGCGCCGAGAAGCTGGGGCGGCACCATGGACACCTCCTCCACGATGACGGCCTTGAGGTCGTTCATGCGGTCCACGAAATCTTCATCGACTTTCTGCCCAGAAAGCCTAGCGATGGTCATGGCCTGCTGGCCGCTCAGCCCGAAGCCGCTGTGGATCGTCTGCCCGCCGATGACGCGCGCAGCGCTGTTCGACGAGGCCACGGCGATCTCCGATCCCGCGCCGAACACCTCGTTGAGCAGACGTCGCAGCAGTTTCACCACCTCCGTCTTCCCCGTCCCGCCCTCCCCGCGCAGCAGGAGAGCCATCTGCTCCACCGGCTTGGGGCTTTTTCCGCTGCGCAGATCTTCCTCGTATGCCACGATGGCCCCCACCTGGCCCGCGACCAGGGCGACCACCGCCTTCTGCTCCTTATTGAACGTCACGGGGTTGTCCGCCCTGGTCGCCCACTCGTCAAACATCCTCTGCGCGATGTCGCGCGCCCGCGGCGGCCGCTCCTCGTCGCCGGCAACCGCGGGCGCCAGCGGCCGACCAGGCGCGAGCACGGCAGGCGCCGAACCCGCGAGGCCGCTCCGCCCGTCGCCATCCCCAGACAAGACCTCAGCTCCCTTTTTCCTGTATCGGAACGCCTCCTTCTGCTGTGCTTTGCCCACCTCGAACTGAGAGTCGTCCAACTCGAGACCGCCGAAGCCAGTCTGCCCTCCACTACTCGCGGCAGCACTACTCGCCGGCAGCGGCTGCGGCATGGCCATACCTCCGTCCAGGAAGACATTCTTATAGACCAAGCTTTGTGAGGACCCACGAATTCCCTCCAACTGGGCCACCGCGGGCACCTCGCTATCCTTCACGAGGTGCGCGGGCCTCTGTCGGTGCGCCGCCCACGCTTCGTCCGCCTCTGCCTCGTCCACCTCCTGAGCAAAACCATCCAACGCTCCGCCGCCGGCGCCCGCCCCCTCCTCCTCGTCCGCCTCCCCGGCAGGCCGATTCCCCACTGCCTCCAGCTCAGCAGACTGCTCGAAGTCCTTGGCCTCCGGACGGATCTTGGTTCGCGGCCGCCCTTTCGCCTCCGCCTCCACGTCGAGGTTCGTCGCGACCTGGACGGCCCAGCGTGCCATGAACTCGGCGGCGCTGGGTTGCTGTGCAAAATGGCCTGGGCCTTCCTCTGAGCCCCGTTTCAGATCGATGTCCTCGATCGTGAACCACTTTCCGGCTCGCCGCTCGCACTCCTCGCACTGCCCGGACAACGCCACCTGCTTCGCCCACCACTCCTCCCAGGCAGGCTGATGCTTCCCGGACGCGTCGACACCGGCCCTGTAGGGCGCCCAGGCCGCAGCCCCCTTCTCAGCCGGCTGCAACGGACGGAAAATCACAGACTTGAACAGCGCGTTGACCTCTGCCTCTTTCTCCTTCGAAGGCATCGTGAAGCCGAAGAACTTGGGCACCCTGAACGGCGCGCCGACGCGGAGCTTCTGCACTCTGGAGGCGGCGGCCGGGTGCGTGTCCGCGAACGCGTACGTCTCGAAGTCCTGCGGGTCGAAGTGGAGCGGGTTGGCCTGTGCTGTGTACACGTACATGGCGTAATGGTACATGCCCATGGACTTCAGGGGCTCCCTGTCGCCGCGATGCAGCCAGTCCATCTTCATGTCATGGTCCAGCCGCGCGCTGTATTCGACAGCCTGCTGCTGCTCCTGCTCGGGCTGCCCCCCCCAGCAGCACCGGCAGCCGCGCCCTCCCCGACAACGCCGTCGGCGACACGGGCGTGCAGCGTTGCGCGCCCCTCGCCCAGCGCATCCATGACACCGCCGCCCCCCTCGCCGTCCTCTTCCCCCGCGGCCGGCTGGTCCACCTCGATGTGGTCTGCGCGCGGGTCGGTCCAGAAGTCGTCCTTTTTCTGATGAGCGGCGGAGCTCGCCTGGAACGCCAGCGCCACGATCCCCTTGCAATACAGAGTCCAGGTGTCATGGGAGCAATAGCACTCGTGGCCATACTGCATCTGAAACATCATCTCGGGCAGCTTCTTCAGGAGCGCCCGGTGCGAGCTGGTCGTGAGCTTGATGACAGTTCGCCTGGCAGAGTCTAGCACTCCGCCCCAGCCGCTGCGACGAGCGGCAGCAGCGGCCCGGGCCCCGTCGACGTCCTCCTCGCCCTCCGCCTCCGCCGCCTCATCCGCCTCCCGCTCCGCCTTCTGCTGGAGTCAGAGCCACTCCAACCCGGTGCTCTGCGCGCGCAGCACTCCGAGGTCGCCCGCGATCGGCCCCGCCTTGGTCGTGTAGTCCGTCTGGTAGTGCGCCATATTGATGGCGTCCATGAACACGGCCTCCAGCGAGTGGGTGTGCCTTGGGCCGGCTGATCCAAGGTGAGGTCGCCAGCTTGGCCTCTTGCGGTGCTTGGTGTGGGCATCGGGTGCAGGTCGGCTCCGTGCTGCCGGAGGTACATTGGAGGTCTAGGCGGCCACGGGCGGCCACTCGGCGAATCCGCCACATACCAACCCGAGGTGGCAACGCGCGGCAGCGTGGCGACCACTCGACATACCCCTTGAGGCGGCAACGGGCGGGGACAAAGGCCTGACCTCGACATGCGTAACCAGTTCCTTGGTGAGAGACGCACGATCCCATTCGTGCAAGCACTGTCTGGGGAACGGTCAGAGGCCTCCCAGATGGGGTCGGAGCAGGCGGGTCCGAGGATCGCGCCGCATCGCCGATGCATCGGCAGCGTCGGAGATGCGTCGGCGCCGTCGGCGTGGAGAAGATCGGGCTCCACATCGAGCCGCATCGGCGATGAATCGGCGATGCGGCGCGATCCTCTGGCCCATCTGGGAGCCTAGAACGTTGGAGCTCTGGGCACGTGCGGCCGCTCTGGTTGCGGCCGCGGCGGACGGTGCGGAGGGAGGTGACGAACGGCTCGAGGGCCCCGGAGCTGCTTGCGGCCGCGTCGGGGGGGGGGGCCCGGCGCAGCGCGCAACGGGCGTGTCCGAGGCCGCGGCCGGGGAGGAGCGCACGAGAAATAACTAATGCTTCAGGCTGTCGGGCGTCTCGGAGCCCACAGCACCTGCGGTCCCGAGTCTGGAGCCAGGTACCAGTAGCCCGAGGATAGGAGGGGGGAAGACAAGGGGGACAAGGAGGGGGGACGAGGGGGGACGAAGAAATAGAAGGGGGAGGATGGGGGTGGAAGAGGAGAGGAGGAGGAGGAGGAGGAGGAGGAGGAGGAGCAGGAGGAGGAGGAGAGGGCGACGAGGGCTCAGTACGGGTTCCCCGGAAGTCCCGACCATGTCCCTGGAACCAGTTTTGCGCCCCGAGCCGTTTATTACAGTCGGACCTAGGCAAGAAGTGCATCCCGCAAGAGCATGAGACCCCCTGTCGGCCAAAGCAAACTGAACATCCAAGGCAGGGTACCCTCCCCAGAATGCATCAGAACATCCAACAAAACACGAGGAACACCAGGGTACCCCCCCGGAGGGACCCTCCCCGAACCGACCTCGACCTGATACCTCGGTCCGACTGTAATTAACGGTCCCGGAGCCCTGCGGGGGCTCCAAGAGGCCGACAAGGGCGAAAAGCCTCCGTGCCGAATCTGGGGGGGTACCAGAGGGTACTGATACCGCTGCTCCCCGGGCCTCTCCTGGGATGCGTTCTGACCAGAATTTCGAGGCGAATCCAGCGGTGGCGACGAGGGCCTCCCAGGAGGCCCAAAGAGGGAGAACACGGCCTAGGGGTAGCGGTATGGGTACCTTTCCCTCCTCCGAAACTTCTGATTATAATGCGCTCGAGGTCCGGGAGTCGCGGCGCCGCTCAGCCGCGCCCGGCGAAGGAGAGGTCTGGCGGCACGGCGACGCCCGCGGCGCGCAGCGCGGCGTCGGCGAGCCGCTCGGCGCGGCCCAGCAGCGCCCAGGCGTCGCGGTCGCCCTCCGCGGGCTCCACGCGCCGCAGGCGGAGGGACAGCAGATGCCCGGGAGAGGGGAGGCCCCCGCGAGAGCATCGCCTCGTTCGTCGGCCGTACTTACAGCTACCCCCTGTCGTAAGGACGCACAGTGAAGGTGCAAGGGCCTTGGGAGACCATGCCGACACTTTGCGAGCGCGGCGCGGCCAGCGACAGTGGCCAAGGATGGACAGAGGAGACGAGGATGCAAGGGTGCCCTTGGGAAGGTTGCCCATCCTTACTACGCGGGTTGATTGTAGGCCAGGAGAACGTCACTCAAGAGCACGAGACCCTCCGCCGGCCATAACAGACAGGACATGAAAGAGTATCCCTTCCCCAGGAGTCACAGGAACATCCAACAAGAACACACACACACACACGAAGAACACCAGGGTACCCTCACCGAACCGACCTCGATCTTATGCCTCGGTCCGACTGTAAGCGACCCCTGTGCCCACCGGCGTGGACCGGGCCCCATTGGCAGCTTTTTACCCCCCTGGATGGGGATATTGGCCGTTTCCTTCGGGTTTCGAATGGTGTATCTCCAACTGAGGTGCTGAGATCGTCGGGCTCGGGATGGGGGTGGGGATAGGGATGCGGGTCGGTCCAGCCCCCCTCGCGTCGTGAAAACAGCACGGCGGGCGTTCTTTTTGTCGGCCTCTGCTGGGATCGACGCGGAGATTGCTACGGGAATGGGAGGGTTATCAGGCTTTTGTGGCCTGAGCTAGCCTGTAAGTGGCTTACAAGCGCCACGAGTCGCTTCGGGGGCAACGATCAGGGCCAAGATCGAGCTCTGCCCACTTCGCGGAGTGATCTTCACCCCCCTGAGCCATCGCAGCCACTGATAACACTCGGGGGCGGCCAAGAGGGGGGCGTCCAAGAGGGGGGGGTGCAAATCATGGCCGGCGGCATGTGCGCGACCCAAGGGGGGGCCAGGGACGTAGTGAAATAAGAAGAGGCGCCATGAAATCTGGGGAAATATCATGGCCCACGCCATGATACCCCCCCTAGTCATGGAGGCCTTCGCCGGGCTGGGGGACTGACAAAAACCACCCGGGAGGAACAGCTGGTCCAGGGGAAGGTGTCGAGACCTCTGGAGATCGACGTTATGATTAAGTCGGGCCTGTCCCCCTACAGACCGATTTTGGGCGAAAAATCAAGAATACCCTAACAATATTCCAAGATGTATAAAAAAAAGCTTAAAAAATCGTCCCCCGTCTACTTTTTTGACTATTTTTGAATATTCCTCCTGTAGAGGGACAGGCCCGACTTAACGTTATGACAAAAACAATGACGTCGGGGGTCCGGGGAAGGCACCTGGGCCCAACGCTTCGAGGCTTGGGAGCGTTCTTCGCCCGCTTGGGGGACGCTCTCGTCGTCGCGGCTGGATCCGCGTCGAAATGGTGGTCCAGACGCACCCCAGCCTCGTCCTGAAAGCCCGAGGAAGGCACCCAGGCCCAGACGTTGGCTGCTGGGCGCTCTTCGCCACTGTTGAGGGCCTCTGGGAGCGCTCGCGTCGCCACAGCTGGATCCGCGTCAAAGCTCTGGATCGAATGTACTCGAGGAGAAGTCTGCCGGGGGTCGACTTTTGACCCCCCGAACAAATCAGTACGACCTCCTGGGGACCTCGCTTGGCCTCGGGATAAACGAACAACGACCCTGGATGAAGCTCTGCCCTGGGGAACCGGTCGGGACTTCCAGTGGCCCCAGAGTGAACAAAGCAACGCATCGGATCTCTGAGCAAATGCTCACCAAGGCCTATCGATCGAGGTTCCAGACTCGACGCTCGAGGACGTTCTGCAGCTTTTTGTTCTCCTCCTGGGGCGCTGTCGTCGCCACGGCAGGGTTCCCCCCGACATACCAGGCAAAACGCACGCCAAGACACGCCGGGGGGGGGGGCGACGCTTGCCCCCGAACGGGCAACCCCCTCGCGTCGGGGGAATGACCACGGCGGCCAGTGTTTGTACATGTTCGATTCTGCGGGTCCGTGCTGGCCCCAGGACCGTCGAGCACGGCTCGGGACCCAGACCCCCAACGCCATGATTTTTTCACAACGGCGACCCCCATGCAGAGGTCTCGACCCATGCCCCGAGCTCGGTTTCTCATCCTGAGTCGATTTTTGACGGTCCTGAAGCCCGGCGAGGGACCCCGATGCCGAAGATGGCGAAAAACGATTTTTTCATTGCACGAGGGGGTCTGGGGATGACGAGCATGGGGAAGCAAGTCGCCCTCGCTGCGGCGGGCCGAGACCCCCTTGCAGCGTGGACCTCGAGCCGGCTCTTGACGGCCCCGCGAGGGCCCCCAGGGAGCCGAGCATCACAAAAAAAACAAGCCACCGTGATGCCTCCACGGCGTGGGTAGTTCCGGGGCACGCCGCCTATACTCTACCACGGCACGCACTTTGAACGAATTCTGAAAACAACAAAAACACTGCTCTCAGAACCTGAAGCCAACGTTTCAAGCAAGAACGGCCTCAGACAGATACGTTCGAGGAACGCCTCGCGCAAACCACACAAGGCTCCTACAGCAGTCTTTGGTGGGCCTACGGGCAAGCTGGGACGCCTCACCACTGCTTGACTAGCACGGGCACCGGCCCCGGCTGGGCGTTGGGGGCGGACAGCAGGCCCGTGGATCCATGGCTGCGGCCCGCTACGGCGAGCTCGCGTCGTGCCGCCCCCTGCGTTGGTTCCTGACACCGCGGGGATCGCTCAAACCAGAACGATCGGCCGCTTCCGACGTACGTCAGATCGTGGAACATCGACCGATCCTTTTGGACGCCCGAAATGGGTACGGAAAAAATGGGTACCATACCCAACAACAAAGGTTGTCCCAAACCAACAGCGGCCGCTGTTGGGCAGGCGGCCTTCTGTCTCAAATGGACACAGGCCGCGGCGGCGCGGGCAGCGAGTCCTGCTCAAGACGAACAAGAACTGCTGTTGGGCATCGCACCCATTCTTTCCGTGCCCATGTCGGTCGTCCCGAACCTGGGTCGCCAGCGGCGTTCAGCGTCGAACGCCGGCGGCGGGGTCACGACCACGCGGCAGGACGCGAACCTGCCGCAACTCCGCGCAGCGCGCCCCGCGGAGGCGCACCGACCGCGGAGTCCTCTTGGCGCTGCTCGCGAGGCCGCCTCGGATGGGGCGGCTCTCCGGCCCGGGCCGCGAGGCGCGACGGACACGGCCACATCCTCGAGCCCCAAGATCGGCTACACGCAAGAGTGACCCTTGGCAAGAGTGACCTTTGGTGCGCGGCTTTTTGGGACCGCGGGGGGGCCACGAAGCCAGCGCGCAGGCCGCTGCGACCGCTTCTCCTTCAGCCATCTGGGGGCCCATCCGTGCCCGCACCAAAGGTCACTCCGGCGAAAGGTCACTCTTCCGCCTAGTCGACAAATTGGCGGGGCGGCCTGGCGCTCCCCCCCTCCCGAGATGCCGCTTCGTCTGGACGGCCTTGACCATCCTCTGCACCCCCTCCCTCCTGAGGGGGGGGCCGAACGGGGCGGGGCCGGCTCGGGGGGGGGGGGGGGGCCAGCCCTGGCGCGGCATCGGCCATGCGGCGCCCAGGAATCGGCGACGGGCGGCCGATGGGCAAGCCCCGCGTTCCTGGGCCTGCGAGGAAAATGGGCGACTGGGGGTCCATGCCCCCCGCGGGCCGGAGCTGGACGGACTTGCGACATCGGGTCAGGTCGGCAACGGATCGGATCGCCAGCGAATCGCCCCGAATCGAACAGAAGCAAGAGCAGCCTGGCTCCGGCCGGCCCCGGCCGATGCGGGCGAACCGAACCGAGTCGGAACCGCGGCCCCGGCCGGCGAGTCGAACCGCGCCGGAGAGCACCGTAGGCAGCCATGCCTGGGCCAGAGCCCCCTCCTGACGAGGAGGCCACATGCGAACCCTTCCCGTGCCCCCCACGATTTCTGAGGGGAAGGGTGGGGTTCACTTCGCTCGGGAGCTCCCGAACGGAGTGAACCCCACCCTCTCCCTCAGAAATCGTGGGGGGGAGGGGTAGGGTTCGCATGTGGCCCCCTACTGACGTTGCCCCGATGGTCTCCTCTCCAGCCAGCGCACCTCCGTCTGCAGCGACTCCAGGCCGCACGGGTCGCCGCGCAGCGCGGCCAGCAGCGAGTCCGTGGCGCTCCGCGCCTCCGCGTAGGACCCGCTCCTCGGCAGCTTGTGCAGCAGGATCGCCTCCAGGGGAGGTCGGCATCGAGTCGGGAAGCCGGATCGGATCGGAACGTGCGCCAGCTCGGGCCGCGTCGGCACGGCGTCGGAGTCGGATCGGGTCGGCGGCGCCAGGATGCACAGCAGCGCGATGCGGGGGCCGCATCGGACCGTCGGGATACGGGACTCGCATCGAGCCTGGCCCGGCGGACCCGACACCGCATCGGGCCCGTCGGATCGACATGGGCCCTGCCTCTATACGGTGCAGATCGTCCACGGCGTAACGCGCGGCCGTGAGGCCGAGCGGCAGCGGGAGAGCCTCGCGGTTCGCCGCGTGCGCGGAGTCGAAGTCGATCTGCTCCTTCTGGGGCAGGCCTTCCAGGTGCTCGGGGGGCACGTGCGCCAGCATCTTGCCCATGCCGAGGCCCAGGAAGGCCGCCTTGGCGTCCACGATCGCCTCGGGCGTCACCGCGAGCTGGACGGGCCAGTGCTGGTACAGCAGGGATTCGCAGTCGCCGCGGACGCCCCACATGACCTTGACGATGCGCGCGCTCTCCATGATGCGCCGCAGCAGGCCGATGCGGCCCTCGCCCTCCAGGTGCACCAGCAGGCCCAGCTCCCAGTGCCCGCGGGTTCCGTCCGCCGCGTGGGCGGGCGCCAGCGTCAGGCCGTCCACTGCCCTACAGGCAACCACCAGTACCGACAGCGCTACTCCCTGGACCTCTCCCTGGGTGCGTCCTGCCCAGAACTTCGAGGCGAGTCCAGCCGTGGCGACGAGGGCCTCCCAGGAGGCCCAGGGGAGCGTAGCGGCATCGGTATCGGTACCTGTTCCTCCTGTGAGACCTGGTGACCTGGACCTGTGCGGTGGTTAGCACGCCGCCGTGCCCGGGCATCTCGCCCTCGAAGTCGGCCAGCACGGTGGCCCCGCGGGCCTCGCAGCAGGCCGCGTACCCCGCCGCGAGGCCGAGCAGCCTGGCCGCCTCGGCGTCCGTAGGCGCGGGCACCCCCTCGACCATCTGGCGGCCCGCCAGCACCAAGAAGGCCGGCTGCACGCAGGAGCGGCCCTGGGCCAACCGGGGACCGCGTGGCCCCAGGGAGGAGGAGGAGGAGGAAGGAGGAGGAGGAGGAGGAGAGGGAGGAGGAGAGGAGGAAGGGAGGAGGAGGAGGGAGGGAGGAGAGGAGGAGGAGGGAGGAGGAGGAGGAGGAGGAGGAGGAGGAGGAGGAGGACCGTGCGGGGGGCCGCGGCGCCGCGCGCGCGGAACGGCCCAAAATGGGCAGGCCCGCCCCGCGCGCCCGAGCCGGGGCGCCGCCTCAGGCGGTGGAGTCCGCCTGGTCGCCGTAAACGGCGATGCAGCGCCACATCAGCCAAGATGAGGGAGAGGAGGGAGGGGGGCTGAGAAGCTGCAGAGACAGCAAGAGCGCGGGTCGCAAGGAGAATAGAGAGGAGCATTCTCCCGCTCGCGCGCAAGCGAGCTGTCTCCGTGCGGGGCCGCGGCGCCGCGCGCGCGGAACGGCCCAAAATGGGCAGGCCCGCCCCGCGCGCCCGAGCCGGGGCGCCGCCTCAGGCGGTGGAGTCCGCCTGGTCGCCGTAAACGGCGATGCAGCCATACCCATGCTCAAAGCCCTTGCGCAGTGACAAGGTTTCGGCGGGCGGCCGATAGACGGGTGGTCCATACAGCAGGGCCGACCCCTAGAAGGGAAGCGACAAGGACGTCGCGGGCGGGCAGCGACAGAGGTCGCAACTGACAGTACGACAGGCGACCTGAGCACAAAGGGGGCTCAGGGAGAGCGGACAGCTCGTAGGGGGGCGAGAAGGCCGTTTAGACGATCAGCACGCCAATAGCCGAAAGCAAATAGTTTCACCGAGTACGGAAGCCGCAACGCGCGCAGGGCGGGAGCGGATCGGTGAAGTCCAAATGCTTACCCCCCTGCTCTGGCCGACGCAGCGTCGTCGGCTGAACAATCTGGCCGCTACTTAAGCCAGTGTCGTGAAACGTGGCTCCCCTGCTGAAGCGCCAGAAGGATGCACTCGAGGACCAGATTCAGGGTCGTCTGGGGAGCCTCGGCGCACGCTCCCATGACGTCCCCTGCGGCCACCTTGGCGAAGCTTGCGCCTTGCCGAAGCGCCAAAATGAGGCGCTCGAGGGCCCGATTCAGGGTCGTCTGGGGAGCCTCGGCGCACGCTCCCATGACGTCCCCTGCGGCCACTTCGGCGGAGCTTGCGCCCTGCTCGAGCGCCATAAGGAGGCACTCGAGGGCCAGATGCAGGGTCCTCTGGGGAGCCTCGGCGCAAGCTCCCCTGACGTCACCTGCGGCCACCTCGGCGGAGCCTGCGCCCTCATCGAGACTGGCCAACCCCAGGGGCGGCAGGATGCTCGGGGAGAGAGCAGCGGGCGGCTGCGTCGAGGCGCCACTGCCCCGCCTGTTCCCCCAAGCCGCTACTAGGGCGGAGGCAGGAACCAGAGCGCAGGTCTGGACGCGTTGAGGGGGCCCAGGGGCCCTGGCCAAGATGGCCTCGACGGTCGGCGCCTGCAGGCCCAGGCGCGCCGCTTCGTCGGCGGACAGGTGAGGGAAGTTCAGACGCGGAACGCGGGAATCCGAGATAGGGGACAGTGGGGCCGCACTCCCCTGAGTCAGAGTGGGCAAGGGCTGCTCGACGGCCTCGGAAGCCGTGCGCCGCGCTGCGAAGGCTGCAGCCGCGGCGCTCCCGGGGTCGCCGCTGTGGGTGCCGCTGGGATGCAGCTCGCGCCCCGAGCCCCGGCCAGGCGCGAGGCCGCTCGAAGACCCCCGTTCCTCGGCGGCACGCCCTCCGCCCTGCGGGGCCGCAGCAGCATCGCTGGAGGAGCGCGTGCCTACCGAGGACGGGGGGGCCTGAGCAGCGGGGCCCGCGCGGTAGCTGCCTGCGTGGGCGCCGCCCGAGCTCGCACCCTGGCGGGGCGCGGCCTGCCGAGGCGCCGTAGCTGGGCTCGGGCGCCGCTTCGGAGCGACCCGAGGGGCGCGCGCCTCGCAACGCCGAGGCGACGTCACCTGTCGCGAGGGCGCGCGGGGGGAGCCGCGGGCGTCCCTGGAGCGCGACGCCTCTCGCCTGTCTGAAGGGCGAGGGGGCGGAGGCGGCGGCGGGAGCAAGGGCCGCGGAGGCTCGGAGCCTACGCGCGGACCGCGGCCCCGAGAGCGGCTGCGAGCCGAGGCGCGAGCGGCGGGCGGGGAGCCCCCCGAGCGGCGAGGAGGGTGCCCCCTGTTACCGCGCTGCTGCCTGCCCCCGTGGCTGCGGGGAGAACCCCTCCTGCTGCCGGAGCGCTCATGAGAGCGGGAGCGCTCGTCGCGGGGTCCTCGTTCAGCCGAGCCACCAGGGAAAACCGTCTGCAGGCGGCGGAGGACCTCGGGGTTCATGCCCGCCACGACGCGCTCAAGGTCCATCGAAGAGTCCGCGAGGGCGCTCAGAGAGGCGAGCGCGCCCTCTTGCAGAAGGGCGTCGTCGGAGTCGAACGCCTCGTCCTCGTCGCACGCGGGCTCCGCTCTCGAACGGCTGCGAACGCTCGCGGGCGGTGACCCGTCGGGCGAGCGCGGGGGGCACCTCGGGGCTCTGGCGTGGGGGCCCTCCGGTGCCACTCCCGCGGGCGGCTCCGACGGCTCCTCGGGCGAGAGCGGGCCGTCGACGGGAGGCGAAGAGCCGCCCCCCGAGGGAGAGGTGTGGTCCCTCCCGTACGGGTTTGGAGACCGCGTACGGCCGCGGGCAGCGCTGGGGCTCCGCTGTGGGGAGCCCACTCCCGCGGCGGAGCTGGGGCGTGCCACGCCTGCCCAGCGGCGCGCATTGGCTGTGCGACGCGCCCTGCGGCCAGGCGCCGTGGCGGCTCCCCCCTCAGGGGCGGGGAGCGCCGCCATCGAAGCCCGCCGTTGCCTGGCGGCGCGCCTGGTGCGCGCGGCGCCCGTGCGCGAGGCGGAGTGCGGCGCGTGACCACCGCGGTTGGGCTGGTCCTCGACCGCCTCATCCCGCGGGCCCAGGCGGGCGCGGACTGCGCGCCGCTCACGGAGGCTGAAGCGGGACGCAGGGTCGTCGGCGGGCCGCGCCAGGGCGCGCGGATCCTCGGCCTCCACCTCGGCCAAGGAGCGGCCAGTAGACGACGCGGGTGCGTCCCCACCGCGAGCGGCGCGCTCCTCGTTGGCGAGGCCCGTCTTGACCTCAGCGTTGTGCAGGACGGCACGCGTGTTCTGCGGGAGGGGCCCCTCGGCGGGCGCCCTGGCCAACGGCCTCGGCCCAAGCGGAAGCCTGGACGGCTGGCTCGCCTGCGGAGGCGCGAGCACGGCGGACGCCGACTGATGCGCCGCCGCCTTCAGCAGCAGGGACTTCGCGTCGCACAAGTCCTTCCACCGCTGGACGCGGGCGACCGCTTCGGCAGCTGTCAACCCCGCGGGTGCCTTGTCGGGACGGCACGGGACCGAGAGGCGCCGGAACGAGCCCTCGATCGCGTCCCTGTGGGCGCCCTCCGCGACCCCGAGCACTTGGCGGGCTCGGCCCAGGCGGGCGGCGCGCTGGAAGGCGTGAGGTGTCGCGGCCTCGCGGCCCGTCGGGAAGTCGCGCCCAACTGTGCGAGCTTGGCCACCCCCGACGGCAGGCTGGGGGGCCGACCGCGTCTTGGGACGCGCGTCGGGGGCCGACGAGAGCGCGGGGGGAGCAACAAGGCGGGCTGCCCCCTCCGCGCAGCTGCCGGGACCCTCGTCGCGCGGCTGGAACAGCGCGTTCCGCGGCCCCACACGGGGGCCGAGCGCCTCAGCGGGCGCCCCGTCAGCGCTGCAGGCGCCAGGGGCTCCGGCAGTTGGCCCCTCGGCGTCGTCTGCAGCGGCGGTCAGCCCCACGCCCGCCGCGAGGGGGGAACAGGCCGCCCCATTGTGGCCCACGGGGCTGTCGAGGAGCCCTCGAGACAGCAGCAACGCGACAAGGCGTCCCCACAGACATGTGGGATAAGGTGCACGGGAGTCCGCGTATGCGACACAATCAAACCTGGTGAAGTCTCCCGCTTCGGCTTCAACCAGCCAGGACGGTGGAGGTATAGAAGGGGGCCTGACGGGGCGATTCCTGGTAGGATCGTCTGCTCGATGCACATCCGTTGGCACGTATAACCCTCCCATATAAAGACCTCCCCCGATCACATAAGGCAAAGTGGTGGAAAGAACGTGGGACAACCCAGGGGAGCTGCTACGCCCGTGAGCGGACGCCCCCAGGGCCACCTTCGAGTCCAGAAGAACTGGAATACGGGAGTCTGGGATCCGAATACAGCAGTACTTGCAAAGACTCTTATAAACGGTGGTCTCGAGGATGTTGATGTGACGCGGCATGCGGAACTCCCATTTATACGCCAAGCGAAAGCGAATCGCCTCCGAGAGCTCGGTTACCCAGCGCGGCGCGACGGGAGGCTCAAGAGAAGGCAGCCCCAGGTCGCGGTGCAGCTGGGTAAGCTCAGGGCCCAAGGATTCGCCGCGGCTCAGAACGGCGAGGAGGCTCCGATTGTGCAGAATCGTGTGCCACCCCCCGTGCTCAGATCGCCGCCACAGCTCGGCAGACAACTGGGAGCTGATCGGAGCGCGGACCACTCCCCCCCAGCCGAGGGATGCGTCCGTACCGAACACTTCGGAGCAGGGGCGCGCCCGAAGGTCGGTTATAGCGGTGAAGGCCAGAAATGTACAAGCCAAAAGTTCGTCACGCACCGAGGGAGGAAGATCGTACTCGATCCCGTCCTCAGTTGCCAGACGTGACAGAAAGTTGTAGACATGCGTAAATATGGCCAACAGTGGGCGGCGGTAGAGGAAAACTTGCACCCAACAACCGACAAGAGATGACAAGAGGGACCGTGTAGTGATGCCGAGATAAATCTGTATCAAGGTCAGCCTGCACAGGGCAACGGTCCGCACCAGGGGGGCGCAGACGATACCGATACGTCCCTCTACTTCGGCCCCCACCACAACTTTGTGCGTCTCCCCGCGGGCGCGTTTGCCTGGGTGCTGCACCAGGCCCACGCGCGGGTACCCTTTGTCGCAGGCGGCGAAGACCTCGCGATCCCGACGATGAGGGTCGTCAGGGCGAGGCGCCGTCCCACGCCAGGAGAGCTTTTGGAAGCCAGTATGGTCGTCAATGTTCAGCATCTCCACGAAAGGGCCCCGGGGGAAGGGCAACCGATGCACGACTTGTTCGTGAGGTCGTAAGGCGCCGAAACTGCGCAGAACACCCTCATGGGCTGAGTTGGCAATTTCAACCGCCATGTTGTCGCCCATCGCAAGAGCGTTCAAGCATGGGGCGACGTCCACGCCCTCGAGCTCGGGCCGCCAGGCGCGAAATGCCTTGAAGCGGGCCGAAGGCAGGCGAACTCGCAGAGCGTTTCGCCGAGCGCGGGCGGGGGGGACGCGGAACGTGTAGTAGAACTCCCGCAAGTCGTCGCAGGAGACCGCCAACCACTCGCCAGGCTCCAGGCCCAGGCGGCACAGCAGGAAGCCCTGGCCGAGCCGCTGCGTGCTGGACGAGATGGAGGCGCAGCGGCTGTTGACCACTGTAGGGTTAAGGATCAGACGATCGAAGTCGCTGTCCTTTGGAACCCTGAAAGCTCCACAAGCTTCATCCCAGGCGAGGTCCGAAGCGGGAGTCAGGTAGAGAGCGCCGCAGGCGTCCCACTTCTGGAGCAGGGCCCACAGCTCAGCGCGGTCCATATGGACACGTGCACCCTTCTGGCCTGAAGGCCACTCTGCCGACGGCAGCCGCATCACCTCGGGGTCGAGGAACGCCTCGCGCACACGCGCGTCGGAGAGGAAGGGAGTGGGATCGAACTCGGGCGAGTAATCCCACTTGATGCGGGAGGCCCGGACCTTGAGGTCGAAGGGCTCGGCCTGGGTGGGGTCCCAGGCCGCCGCAGAAGCCAACGAACCAGGCACGGGCGGAGCGCTGGTCGGGCAGTGCCGCATGGGGGCAGGCACGGAAGAGGAGGAGGTGAAGGAAGCCTCAAGAGCTACGACATGGGTGGCCAGGCCATGGAGCGAGACTTCGGTGGAGTCGAACTTGGCGAAAGCCCGACCAAGGTCGCTCTTGCCACCGCGGGCAAGGCGAACTGCGATCCGACACAACCGCTCAATGCGGGAGCGAACGCCCTCCTGGCAGGGCGAGGCCGTGGCGCGGACTCGGGCTTCGGCGGGAGCGAAGCTAGGGTGACCCAGCGTGAGCCAGTTCAACGCAATAACGGAATACTGCGCAAGAGTCCGCGCCGCGCGCCTGAGCCGCCAACGCTCCCTGCGCCTCGCTGACAGACCATCAGGCGGGGGACCAAGAGGTGGGGCAGGCGGACACGGCCAAGGATCGCGGGGAGGCGGCCCCAAAAAGTACGGGTCGTCCCGATCCAACGCACGCAAAGATGAGCGGGAGAATGAGCCCAGTGAACAACGAGCACCCATCCCGACCTGAGACAGCGCAGCTGCCCAGTGGGTGATATCGATGTTTGCGCCAGGAAAAAGACGCAGCAAGGAAGACACGTCAGCGACAAAGGGCGCGACTTTAGCAAGGGCAGCGGGGGCGCACGCGACAGGACGCGCGCCAGCAAGGACACCGCTCTCAGGGGCTGCACACCCCGTGCGGGGGGAGCTCGACTGAGGGCAGTGGTGGCCAAAATGGCCGGGTGGATACGAGGGGCGGCTCGGAGCGAAGCGAGAGGCGTGATGGCGGAACGAACTCCTCCCTGCGGGGCCGCACCAGCATCGCTGGAGGAGCGCATTCCTACCCTCACGGCCTCGCTGCGCCCAAGCGCGCCTAGCAGCCGCAGCAGCGTCAGCACGGACTGACTGCGGCGCTGAACCTCGGCCACTGGAGGCAGCTCCCTCGCAGGTGACGGGCAGCAGCGGCCCCGTCACTGCTTCTGGGGTGGCACCTTCGGTACCTTGGGAGGCACCTTTGGAGTCCTGGGCTGCTTGGGTACGCGAGGCGGCTGCTGGGGAAGCGCGGCGGCGCGCTCGGCGTCGAGGCGCGTCCGAAAAACCTGCAGCTCCTTCATGTACTCGCCCTGCGCGGACAGCCAGCGGAAGTCCACGAGGGGTGAAAACGGGGACTGCGCCTCGCGCTCCGTGTGCTGACTGGTGACGCGACATGGAGTGGGCTCCACCCCCGTGAGGGACCATGCGGCCTCTAGGCAGCCGCGGTCCCCCGCCTGCTGATCGATGAACATGCACTGGCAGGTCAGCAGCGTCTGAACCCCGAGCGGGTCTCGCACGGCGGGACCGTGCTGCGCCAAGGTAGCATGCCAAGCGCGCCGCCGTGCGATCCCCCGCATCTGAGTGGACGAAGAGTTGAGGTCGCCCGAAGATGCGGACGGGGCCTGAGCGTAGTCGCTCAGAAACCCCAGTAGCGGATGAGCTGCTGGGCGGGAGCCCCGCCCCTGCTGCAGGGCTAGGGCTGGAGACTGATGCAAGCACATCAGCGCCATGCTGAGGTCCGACTGGGGAGCCGCAGGAGGCGGGTCCACGGCGCCCGCGCCGCCCGCCTCGGCGAAGCCGCCGACCGAGGCAAGGTCGTGTTGCCCAGGCGGAGGCGCGGGGCCCAGCGGCGAAAGGCTTTGCTGATGGCCTTGGGGTGGCCAGGGGCAATGCAGCCATCCTGTCGGCCACGTCAGCCAGGTCCGAAGGAACCCCGAGCGACCGCGGCAGGTCGTGAGCGCTCGAATGACCCGCTGAGTCTGACAGGGGCGCGGGAAGGTCGCCGCGAACCCTGGGCGCCCGCAGCACGTCGCGTGGACTCGAGCAGATAGCACCGCTCGTAGGAGACACGAAGGCGGCCGGCGACGCGTCGAGTCGGCGCAGAGAAGAAGGGCACCGAACGTGGGCTGACGACGTCCCGTTGCCAACGCGGGACGCGCCCGCGCCACATGGAGTAGGATTTCGTGCACCTGACACGTCGACCCCGCTCGCGGGACAGGTCGGCGGCCAGAGCCCGCCCGGGTCGCCCGTGCAGCCGAACTCAGAAGTAGACTCTGCCAGCACCGACGCTGTGTCGGGCGGGGGCGTGGGGGGGTCCCCATGCACCCCGAGCGACCGCGGCAAGTCGCAAGTGCCCGAGCCCGCAGCACCGCGCGAAGGCACAGCGGCGGCGGGTGGAGGAGTAGCCTGGCAAGCAGCCGCAACGAGAACCCCCCGTGAAACAGCGGCATCGGCGGCTGACGCCATCGCATATGTCCTCATGTGGGGCGGCAGGGCTGACAAGGATGAGGCTGGATCCCCGAATAGCCCGAGCGAGTGCAACAAATCGCGGGCGCCCGCACGCGGGGATGGACCACTGGCGGCGGGCGCGCCGACACCACCCACGAGGCTGGTAGGCGGTGGGAGCCCTCCGAAATCACCATACCAACCCAAGTCACGGGCAGCGCACGCCCAAAGTGAGGCGGGATCAACAGCGTTACGGTGGAGCGACGGGAGCGCCTCTGGGTCGGCGAGACCTGGCGGCGGCCCCGCCCGCCCGGCTTGGAAGGGCGATCCACCACCGACGAGAAACGACTCCGCGGGCGTGCACGGACTGATCGCAGGCGGCACCCGAGCGCCGGCCTCCATGCCGGAGAAACGCGGAAGCGATTCCACACGCCACACATCCGGCTCCAACGGCGCGACCAAACCGGGTGGCGGACGAGGAGGCAACCCCGTCGGAACCCGTGGCGACGGCGGCCTTCGCTCGGCAGCCGATGGAGGGCCAAGGCCCGGAGGGGGGCCGATACCCAATTCGGCGAGGCCTGGGGGCGGCAGGGGACGCCTGCCCTGCAGCGTCGGCGGCGGGAGGGTGCAGATAAGGGGCACACCGCGCTGAACGTCAAAGGCGCTCGCCAACAAAGCGGGTGGCTCAGCTGATGACGCGTCCCACCAGGACGAGGACAGGCCCGCCGCGTCGGTGCCTGGAACCCGGAAGGCCGCGCGAAGCGGCCACTCGGTGCCCGCTGAGCAAGCGGGGCCCCGGTCGAGCCATGGCGTTGTGAGGGGGGGAGGGGAGTGAGTGAGGAGGTGGAGGTTAGCAGGACTCTCCTCCTCCCATTCCCCCGTCCCCAAGGCGGTTCCCTTCGCGCGCTCTGCCTCCTCGCCCGCGGTTCGGCGGGCGTGAGGCTGGCTCAGAGTTGCAGTGGGCTGCGGGCGGTGCGTACTGCGCGGCGGTGGCTGGTGGGGCGCGAGCAGTAGACCGTTCCTCCCTCTGGCGGCTTGTTCTTCGCTGCGGAGACCCAGGTCTTCAGCCTCCTCGTACCCCTCCTCGTCCTCGTCGTTTCCCCCCGCCTCGATGGAAGAAGAAGAGGGAGGCGAGGGGAGGAAAGGCGGGAGCTTTTGGGTTCGCGTCGCTGAGGCAGCGCTCCGCTGAGCAGTCTCGTTGCGAGAGCGCCTGCCGGCGAGCGGTCGCGCGGCAGCAGCTGTAGCAAAGGAGCGTAGGTCGGGCCAGATGGGACCTCCGCCGACAAGCGGATGCGCCATCCAGGCGGCCAGAAGGGAGAGGAAGAGCAGAGCGCGCGCGAGCGAGCGCGAGCGAGCGAAGCTCGCGCGGAACGGCTCAGGAGGACCGTCCGAGGGGCTCGGCCCCGCGAGGCGGTGAGGGCCGCCTCGAGCTGAGCGCGGCGCGCTGAGCGGGCGCCGACGAAGGCACCGACCCCGGGACGCAGGGCCCGAGCCCTGTCGAGCGCCTGGGCTCCTGGCCCGCAAGCAAGCGCTCGGGCCGCGCGGCGGTCCTGCTCGAGCGGAGCAGGCGCCGCACCGCGCGGCCAGGCGAAGGGCCAGAGCCTCCGCCACAGGCACGGGCCCAGCAGCCCGGAGCAGCAGCCTGCGCAGGCGCTGCACGCGGCCGTCACCCAGAGGAGGGCAGCGACCGTCGAGAGCAGCCGGGGAGAGGCCCCGCTGCTCAACTCCACCGCCTGCCCGAGGCAGACGGTGGGACAGGCAGAGCCCGCCGAGGGGAGGGGGCAAACGGCCCCCTCACCCCCAGGCGGGTCTGCCTGTTGGGTGGACCAGGCGGTAGCGGAGGCCCCTGGTCCTGAAGCACAGAAACGGGGGCGGCGACGAGCCGCTCGCAGAGCGCGGCCCGCACCCCCCGAAAAAGAATGTCCCCCGCGCCCTGGAGAGCCACCTACGCGATCGCCTGCATAAGGCGCCCGCGCGCGCGGCCGAGGGGGGCGCTTTGGGGCTGAGAAGCTGCAGAGACAGCAAGAGCGCGGGTCGCAAGGAGAATAGAGAGGAGCAGGACGAGGAAGACTAGGAGGAGGAGGACCAGGAGGAGGAGGAGGAGGAGGAGGAGGAGAGGAGGAGAGAAGGACGAGGAGAAGGAGGAGGAGGAGGAGGAGGAGGAGGAGGAGGAGGAGGAGGAGGAGACGGAGGAGGAGGGAGGAGGAGGAGGAGGAGGAGGAGGAGGAGGGACGGACAGAAGGAGGAGGAGGAGGAGAGGAGGAGGGAGGAGAAGGACGACGAGGAGGAGGGAGGAGGAGGAGGAGGAGGAGAGAGGGCAGGAGGAGAGGAAGGAGGAGACGGAGGAGGAGGAGGAGGAGGAGGAGGAGGAGGAGGGGAGGAGGAGGAGAGAGGAGGAGAAGAGAGGAGAGGAGGAGAGGAGGAGGAGGAGGAGGAGGAGACGGAGGAGGAGGAGGAGGAGAGGAGGAGGAGGAGGAGGAGGAGACGGGAGGAGGAGGAGGAGGAGGAGAAGGAGGACGAGGACGAGGAGGAGGAGGAGGAGGAGGAAGGAGGAGGATGGTCCTCCCCTCGCTGCGAGCCCTTTGCGCCGCGGGCTCGCCGGTCGGGGCACCTTCGGCGCGACGTGTGGTGGCCTGCATGCTCGGGCGCGGCCCCGGCTCTGCCCCCCGGAAGCCGCGCACCACGGGTCGCGGCGCGTCGTCAGGAGGCCGCAGGTCGGGTCGGGCGAAAGGGGGGGATAGCAAAGGGGGGGGTGAGAATCAGCTCACGCAGCTGATTTTCCCGGCGCCTCCCGGCGCCGGAGGCGACTATGTATCGAGGAATGGGCCCCTCGGTGAGGCCGAAACCAGCTGCATGCAGCAAATTTCGTGACCCCCCCTTTCCCAATCCCCCCCTTTCGCCCGACCCGATCCTAGATGGGGTCGGAGTAGATGAGGTCGGAGGGTCGCGCCGCATCGCCGATACATCGACGATGCATCGGCGATGCATCGGCGATGCATCGGCGATGCATCGTGGACGTCGGCGATGCATCGACGACGTCGACGTGAAGCTAATCGGGCTCCACATCGAGCCGCATCGGCGATGCATGGGCGATGCGGCGCGATCCTCCGAACCCATCTTCTCCGACCCCTCTGGGAGGCCTAGGCCAAGGGGAGGAGGGGTTTCGAAAGCAAGGCGCGCAGGCCAGCGCCGTGGCTGCAGGCTGGGGCCGAGGCCGAGAGGCGAGGCTGCAAGCGGGGGCCGAGGCCGAGGCGGAGGCGGAGGCGGAGGCCAGGGGGCTCCTCGTGGCCCCGCGCCACAGTCGGGGAGACGAAGTAGGCTCGGGTGCGGGGGACTCGGCTCGGCCTGACGGGGCCATCACGAAAAGGACGAGACCCAGTCTAAAGTTTAACGCGAGCTCCCGCTGCAGACATCCCACGGCAACTGGACCGTCAAAATCCAAAGGCGGGCTCGCAATAAGTTGTTAAAGGCGCAGGCGAACCCAAGCTCCGTCGCACTCGAGTCTTACGGGCCCCGCGCCACCAGAGGCCAGTCTGGTGGAGGGCCACTCTTTCCGCGCAGCCGCTCAGGGGCAGCCGAGCGAGCTCTCGAACACGAAGCGCTCCAGCAGCTCCCCAGCGCCCTCGCCGCACACGCCGCCGCCGGCCGCGGCAGCCTCCAGGAAGGCGGCGATGGCTGCGCCGACGTCGCCAGCGGGCGCGGGCCTGCCTGGCGCGTCCTCGAACAGGCCGCCGAAGCACCCCGAGGCCGGGGGGCTCAGGCTCTCCGAGACGTTGACGGCCTTGAACCTTCCGCGGCCCTTGCCGTCGTCTCGGATGTCTCGGGGACGCGCAAGCCGAGGTCAGCGCTGAACCCAGGTCGGACAGCCGCTGCCAAGTCGCGACCCTGGCCTGGCCACGAAGTAAGCAGCCCCCAGGCCCGAGGCCGTGAGGAAGGGGGCAGGCGGGGAGACGGCCCAACGTGGCCTGCTCCGGAGACGCGGATCGACAAACGATGTGTGCTTGGGACACGTCTTTCACTGCCGCCGCCGTCCGCTGGCCTCCCGCCGGCTTCCACCGGCGGAGGCGCCCTCGATCGTCTTACGCGCCCTCGCCTCACTTCCGCCGGCATCCGCCGAGCTGCCGCCCTCCGCCGAGGAGGGAGTGCCGGCCTTTTTCCGGCCCTCGGAGGCGAGGCCCTTGCTGGAACGCCTCTGCGCGGCTCCCAAGCCCGGGCCTGCCACGGGGGAGCAGCGTCGATCAGCTGCCCCCTGCCAGCGCTGATCCTCGCCGCGTGCGCGTCCCGGATGTCGAAGATCACCTTGTCGCCGGGGAGCAGCTCCTCTGCGCCGATCAGCGCGGAGCGGTGGACGAAGACGTCCTCGCCTCCGCCGTCGGGCAGGAGGAAGCCGAACCCCTTGTCGCCGACCCAGCTCTTCACCGTGCCGTGGTGGGACATCGGGGCGCCGCGCCCCCGAGAGCGGCCTGGGGCCTGGAGCCACGGCGGCGGCAGAGGGGGGGGGAGGAGCAGGGGAGGGAGCAGGGAGCAGCAGCAGGAGAGGGAGGGGGGCAGGAGGGAGGAGGGAGGTGGAGGAGGAAGGGGCGGAGCAGGAGGAGCAGGGCGGAGGAGGCGGTGGAAGGAGGAAGAGGGGTCGGGGAGGCGAAAGAAGGAGGATTCATGGGCAGGGGGAGGAGGGTACGGTGAGGAAGAAGAAGAAGAAGAAGAAGAAGCAGAAGCTAGGGAGATACTATGGATGATGAAGGATGCAGAAGGATACGACGAAGGAGGTCACGATAACGAGGATGACGATGCCGAGGAAGGAAAAGGAAAAGGGTGAGGAGGAGCAGGAGAAGGATAATCAGGAGAAGGACAGGGTGTGACGATGACAAGGGGAAAACAGTGGCAGGAGCACGAACGAAAGGAGAAAAAAAGTGGGAGGAAGATGACGGGGCTGAGGAGGAGGAGGAGGAGGAGGACGACGACGACGACGAGGGGATAATGTGAGCCCAAGACTGATACACTGCACGTGGGAACACTGCCAGTATACATGTCTAGAACGGCCCCAGATCGCCAGAGCCACGTTTCTCGACACCACGCGAACCATAGCATGCAGCATGCACGGAGACAGCCCAGCGTGGTAGCCGCCGCAGCTTCGCCGCCAGAAACGCTGGTCCCCCCCCCGAGAGAGGACGGGGGAGGGGCCCTCCCTTTCCATCTCGCTCCACGGCCAACACTGCGCCTGGGTGAGAGAATGACGGCGGAAGACAGGCGAGACGGGAGAGGAAGGAGTGGAGAGGGGAGGCAGCCAGAGGGCTGGCAATCCTCCACCCCGCTGCGCTTCGGCCCAGCTCCATCCGCTCCCGCCACAGGGGGCTTCTCGGTCCGAGAGAGGGCCATGGAAGACAAGTGCTGGAAATAAGAAACACACCATCAACTGTTTTGTTCTTTCTTACTTTTACCCTGAGCGCAGGCAGCTACAGGTCGAGGAGGAGAGAAGGAGGAAGAAGGAAAGCGAAAACGAGGGGGGAGGAGAAGGAGACAGAGACAAAGCAAATAAGAAAGGTACAACTCAGATTGGGTGCGCGCAAACACTACATAAACGTTTGGCGCTCCGCGCGGACTCCTTGGATCTGCGCTGGATCCCCCCCATCCCTGGCGAGCCTCCGGCGCCAGGGGAGGCGCCAGAGATGCCGCCGGAGCGCCCAAAAAGTGTACTGCAGGTCCGTGCCGTGTCGACACTGGCGTTGGTTCCTGACACCGCGCTGGATCGTTCAACCTTGAACGATCGGCCGTCTCCGCAACGTCCGATCGTTCAACATCGACCGATTCTGGGCCGCCGTCGGCGTTCAACGTTGAACGTCGGCGGCGGGGTCGCCGCCGGTCGACACGACGCGAACCTACCGTATGCGAATGGAGTGCTTTCTTCTTCGAGATGGGCTTGGCCTCGCTTGGGAGGGCGCCCACTCGCTCGCCTGTGGACCCCCTACAGCTATCCTGCAGGGGCGGCCCTCTCCCGCGCGGCTGCCGCCGGACCCTTCTCCCGTGCGGTGCCCGCCCTCCCCGCGGTGGCTACCCTCCCGGGAGGGAGGAGGGGCAGGAGGAGGAGGAGGAGGAGAAGGAGGAGGAGGAGGAGGTGGAGGAGAAGGAGGAAGAGGAGGAGAAGGAGGAGGAGGAGGAGGAGGGGCAGGAGGAGGGGGAGGCGGGAGGGGAGGAAGGGGGACGAGAAAGGAGGAGGAGGAGGAAGAGGAGGAGGAAGAGGAGGAAGAGGAGGAGGGGAGGGCATGCCTTGCCTCCTCCAGGCTTCTCCTGGCGAGGGCACCGAGGCCCGACTGCCTCCCGACTCCCGCCGCGGGCCAGGAAGCCCCCTTCCACGGCGCAGCACTTTCCGGCACGCAGGACCTCGGGAACCCTGCCCTGGACCTCTCCTGGAGCGCGCTCCGACCAAGCCGGCGGACCCACGCGACACGACCAAGAGGGGATCCCCCAAGAATGCACGGGAGAGAGGGAGGAGGAGGAGGAGGAGGAGGAGGAGGAGGAGGAGGAGGAGGAGGAGGAGCCCCCTCCCCTCGACTCGTCGACGACCGGGGCCCCTCTGGAAACGCCCCCCGGTTTCGACGGGTCGTCGTCTTCGACGCCGACGCCGCCGTCGCAGGATCAGTCCGCATCCCAGCGGGACACGGGATCGGATCGGAACGTGTGCCGCATCCCTTATTTGGTTCTTCCTCACCTCCCCTCCAGCACTTCTGCCATGTGAAGGTGGACGCTTGCTCTTTGACTCATCCGGATCATGAAGTTTATCATGTAGGTCGATGGCGTTCCATCGAGGAGGCCGACCTCGCCCTCAGCCCGGAGCAGGAGGTCGCGAAGGGCGCCGAGCCGGCCCGCCAGGAGCGCCCTGCCGCTGGGGAGGTGGCCAAGGTTCCGGGCGGAGGTGACCATCGGCACGCAGTCTGCATCGCATCGGATGGACTGCGCCAGGTTGCACGGCAAGCCCCAGGCCGCACCGACTCGCTGGAACACCGGCATTGGAACGGACCTGGCTGGCCGAAGCCGAGGACGGAGCGGATCTGCAGGGTCGAAGATGACCTCGCGCCGTCTTCGCTCTCGCACCCAACCAAAAACCCGCTCCGACTGATGCGGCCATGCGAGGCCCCCCGAGCGGCGCCCACCGCGCGCGGGGGGGGGGGAGCGGCCTCCGAATCGACAACGCCCTCCGTCGTCGTCCGTCGCCGCCCGTCGACGACCGTCGTCGACCGTCATCGTCGGCAGCCGACCGTGGACAGCGGACCGTCGTCGCAGCCGCCGACAGGCGCCCCTCGCCCTTCGACCGTCGTCGTCGTCGTCGTCGTCGTCGTCGTCGTCGTCGCCGTCGTCGTCGTCGTCGTCGTCGTCGTCGTCGTCGACCGTCGTCGACCGTCGTCGAGTGGTGACCCTTCAGAGGGCCGCCTCGCGAAGGCGCGGCGCTCCGGCGCTCCGGGCGCCCGAGGCGGCACGTCGGCGGCGGGCACCCACCTCTCGGCGGGCGTGCGGGCGGGCCAGCGGGAGGCAGGGCAGGCCGCGCCGTCTTCGGCGTCGAGCGAGGAGGGCCTCCTCCTCCTCCTCCGCCTCCTCCTCCTCCGCCTCCTCCTCCTCCTCCTCCGCCTCCTCCTCCTCCTCCTCCTCCTCCTCCTCCTCTCGGCGGCGAGCGAGGGGGGGATGTGAGAAGGAGAGGGCCTTCTCAGAAGGCGGCGGGACTCCTCAGAAGGCCTCGCGCCCTCTGAGAGGCCCGTTTCTGTCTTTGGGGAAGGCTCGGAAACCTTCTCAGAAGGCCTGGGGGCCTCCGAGCCTTCTGAGAAGGCCCGCCCCTTCTCACTTCCCCCCCTCGCTCGCCGCCGACATGTGCGGTGCGAGCGGGTGTACGTGGCGACATCGAACCTTACACCCAACCATCGAGTCAGTTTGGTTGGGAGAAGAAGGAGGTAGAGGCAAAACAGGGACCGCCACGTCTCTCGACTAACCCGCGCGCTCCGTGGCGATACGCGGCAGACCCGACTAGTGGCTTCATTTGCAGCAGCATTTCAGAAGTAAGGTGGCATCGGCGAGAAAAGGATCAGGGAGGAAGAGGGGGAGGAAGGAACAAAGAGAGGCTGGGATCACGATGTGGCAACCTGAACGGCCGCAGCTGAAGGTCTGGACAGTGGAAGCCACACCCGGCAATCCAGGGGCGGTGCCCACCAACCATCGATTCTCCTGGATCGATGGTAGGCGGGGTCAGGGCTCGGCTTTCGCCACGCGTTTGGCGAATTGCGAGCCCTACCCCCGTCGCCCATCGAGTCGTCTGAATCGTGGATCGGCGAGGGCAGGGAACGGATTCCGCCGCCGAGGGTGGTGAAGGGTCAGGGAGAGCAAAGGGGCAGGGAACACGGGAGCAATGGGAGAGGAAGGGGCAGGGGGCAAGGGGGGAGAGCCAAGGGGAGCAAGTGGCAAGGAAGGGCAGGACTTCTCAAAGAGAGAGCCGCGGGCCGCGGCGGGCCCCAGCCCGCCCAGCGGCGGGCGGCGGCCGTCCGTGGCGGCGTCGGGCGCGCAGGGCCGCGTCCGTGGCGGCGTCGGGCGCGCAGGGCCGCGTCCGCGGCGGCGTCGGGCGCGCGGGCCGCGTCCAAGCTGCAAGAAAAACCAACCGACAGCATGTCCGTGCGTTGCCGCCTTTGCCTTCGGCACTGGGTTGTGACACTGGGGTGCGAATGCTGGGAAGCGCGCGCGCGGTCGCGGCCGTGGCAATGCGCGCCCATGCGGGCACGCGCGCAGGGTGCATGGCGCTGGCGCGTCAGCTCGCCTCGTCGATGAGGCAGCTGTTGCGCCTTCGGCAGGGGGCTTCGCCGTTGGGCTGCCGCTGGCGCAGCAGATCCACAGGGGTCCGCAGTTGCCTTCGGCGTTGGAAAGCAGCACTGCGAGGGCGCTGGCGCGGCAATCCCATGGGCCCCCGCGGGCCTCGAGCGAGTAGCCGCGCCGTCGGGCTCCTCGCTGACGGCGACGCGCACGGCAGTTGTATTCGCCCGCGGCTTTGGGTTTTGCTTTGAGGTCGCCCCCGCTGAAGCGATTGCAATCATCGACGCAGACGCTGTCGACGCGAGCTTCGGAAGGCGGGAGGAGGAGCGCGAGGGGGTGGGTCTGGCACCCCCTCGCTACGATGCGCGCGCATGGCTGCGGCAGCACGTCCATGGCAGACCCCCTGGAATGCCTTGGGTGAGCTCTCTGGGAGCGCTGGGGGAGCGCCTCGACCTTTCCCAAGGATGGAAGCACGTGGGAGCGTCTGGGAGCGCGACAGGACACGCAGAGCGCACCGCGAGCGCGAGCCGTGAATTGCCCGTTGGGCTTGACCGTTGGCGTCGTCCCCGCTGAAGCGATTGCACTGTCGACGCAGCCGCCTTCGGCGCGAGTTTCGCATGGCTGGAAAAGGGAGCGCGAGGGGGTGGGTCTGGCACCCCCTCGCTACGATGCGCGCGCATGGCTGC